TCCTGGTGTATTTTATATCCTTCTCTCTCTCTGAAATCCAGCATCCACTGGGGTTGGGGCTGCAAGGAATTTGCCATTTTATATTTCTTCTCTTTCCTAATTTATGGAGCCCCCAAGTTCCCCCCTCACCCTCAGCCTGCTTGAACCTCATGAGGTTCAACTCCTTGAGCTTGATTTCTGTAAATTTAGGTTAAATGAAAAGAGAAATGTTGAAATCATATTAAAGTTCATTATATACAGGGCCATCAGGAGTGCCAGGGAGTCCCTGGCAGAGCGGGCACAATTCTTGTATTTTGGGTGAATTCTGTCTCTGTGTTTTCTCTGCCAGGCTACGTTCAAGGGCTGGATGGACATCATGTATGCAGCTGTAGATTCCAGAAAGGTAACCTGGCAAAACTCCCCTCCCTTTATTTCTGTCTGCTTTTTTGGTTTGCTAAAATTGAGAGTAAAAGTCGTGGAATTGTGTTTGTAGCGAGTATTTCATGCTGGGATTGTTTCCTTTGCCCTGGGGGTCTGATGAGTTAAAAGATGCTAAGGAAAACCCCAATAAGGGCAAGTTTTTCTGGTTGGTTTTTTTTTTGTTCCAACTGGTTTTTGATCTTTGATGTTTTGGAATCACAACCAAAAATCTCATTTTGCCTGTGTTTGTATGATGTCTTTGAAATGTCATTTGTTGTTTTTCCTATCTCCCCTTCAGCAAGAAGAGCAGCCCAAATACGAGGACAACATTTACATGTACATTTATTTTGTTATCTTCATCATCTTTGGCTCCTTTTTCACCCTGAACTTGTTCATTGGTGTCATCATCGACAACTTCAACCAACAAAAGAAAAAGATAAGTGATCTGTGTTTGCTGCTTCCAGCTCAGACCTGTCCCAGGACTGTTGGCTCTTCAGGCTGGTGGGTTTTTCTGCAAAATAAAGTAATTTTGGGGCACAAAGCTCCTTTTTTAGAGCTGTGGGCCTCTTGGTGCCTTGAGCCCAACATGTTTGGTTTAAACTACAGCCAGATTAAACATTTTCCCTAGATTTTCATGCATTTTGGGGTTTTTTTATGCCTTGGCTAAAATATAAACTGGAAGCAAGATGTCTTCCTTGCCTTTGTCTCATATCCTGCTTTTTCTTGAAATAAAAGTTGTAAGTTTGGGTTTCTACCATTTAAAATACCCCAACCCGAGGGGCTGGAGCTCTAATTTGGGATGGATTTGCAGCTCCTGGAAATGCCCTCACAGCTGCTCAGAGGGGAGAGAGGCAGTGCAATGAAACCCATACATTTCAATTTAGAGGAAATTTAAATTTCCTTTAAATTTCATTTATAGGAAATTAAAAATTTCATTTTTAATTAAGATCAGTGCAGCCTGGGTGTTAGTGTGAGTGATTCTGTCTGAAGGCAGGCCTCACCTGAGCTGGGCTTTACTCCTTTCCCTCCTGGCCCATGAGCTGATTGTAACCAGTTTTCCTTTTGCCCCTTTACTTTGGAGGTCAAGACATTTTCATGACAGAAGAGCAGAAGAAGTATTACAACGCCATGAAAAAACTGGGCTCAAAGAAGCCTCAAAAACCCATTCCCCGACCTCTGGTGAGTGCATTGGGGGGAGCTCAGGATAAACCCACTGTGGAGCAGATTTCAAAATAGCTTTTTCTCCAGAATCATCCCTTGTTCTAACTCATGTTGGACCCACATCACCCTGGTTTTGTGACTCGGGTGTCACCTGCAAAGGTTAAAGCATTTGTGCTGGGGTTGGTGTAAATCAGTTCATCACCTAAATAATGAAATTCCAAAACTTCACCTGGGTGTGGAGCAGGAGCCTCCTGGCACTCACAGGAGAACCCTTGGCAATCCCCCAGCCCTGAGGGCTCTGCTGGTGGAGAGCTGAGCTCATTTCCCTGCTTTCTGAACGGCTTTGGATCGCTCAGAAAGCCAAAAGAGGGGTTGGGTTGAGTCCCTGAGGGGCTGTGTGGATAAATAAAGCCTCCTGCGTTTGGGGCCGTGGTGGTGCCACCAGAGGGGCTGGGTTCTCCTGCAGGCACTGTCAGTGCCAGGATGTGGCTGCAGAGGCTCCGCAGAGAGCACAATGTGCTGCTGGTAGGGGTGGAGTAACATGCTGGGGTATAATTTGTATTTTCCTGCTTTTGCCCTCACCAGACCGGCTCATGGACAGGGTTTGCCTTGAAAGCTTTGTTCAATACTGACAAAAATCACATCCTTGTCCCTCTTTCCACCAATGGTGGGATAATTTATTGATTAATGGTAAATTAAGAGGAATTCCTCCCTGTGAGGAATTCCTTTGCCCTCACCAGACCGGCTCACGGACAGGGTTTGCCTTGAAAGCTTTGTTCAATACTGACAAAAATCACATCCTTGTCCCTCTTTCCACCAGTGGTGGAATAATTTGTTGATTAATGGTAAATTAAGATGAAATTCCTCCCTGTGAGGATGGTGAAGCCTTGGCACGGGTGCCCAGAGAAGCTGTGGGTGCCCCTGGGTATCCACAGCCAGGCTGGACAGGGCAGGGGGTGGAACGGGATCATCTGAAGGACATTTCCAGTCCAAACCACTCCACACTTCCATGATTGCTGCTCGAGCTTGGTTCCCTGCCTCTGCTGCTCCGCAGAACCGCATCCAAGGAGCCGTGTTCGACTTTGTCACCCAGCAAGCCTTCGACATCGTCATCATGATGCTCATCTGCCTCAACATGGTGACCATGATGGTGGAGACGGACACGCAGAGCAAGCAGATGGAGGACATCCTGTACTGGATCAACTTTGTGTTTGTCATCTTCTTCACCTGCGAGTGCGTGCTCAAGATGTTCGCCTTGCGGCACTACTACTTCACCATCGGCTGGAACATCTTCGACTTCGTGGTTGTGATTCTGTCCATCGTGGGTAAGTGGGACAGCACCCAGAGGTCGTGGTGCTCCGTTTTCAGAATTTTCAGAGTTTTCAGAGTTTTCAGAACAGGCTTCAAACCCGTTTTTATTTTAGTGTGCATGCTTTTTGTACATTCTTACAAAACTCATAAATTTATACTTTACTTATTAGTCACGAGAGACAAACAAAGTGCTCATTGGAATTTCTCTGATTTGTCCTTCTTTCTCTCTTGGTTTCTGTGTCAACGACCTTGGTAGGAAATTGTTTCAGGGGTAAAATTACCCCCTAAAATCAGGGGTGGGTTCTCTTATCAAACTTCTCTCTGGCTCACAGAAGTTGCTGTAAAACCTCTTCCACACTTAGAGGTCGTTGAGTGCCAGGCTGTTTTGGCATTTTTAGAGTAGAACATGGCTTTGAAAGGGCTATGTAGGTGCCAGGACCTCAGGGTTCTCTTTGAGCCTTGGGAAGCCGTGGCAGAATTTATCTGAATTTATTTATGAAGCCCTGAAATTTATTTATGAAGTCCTGACTGATGCCCCTTCCCTCTGTTCTGATATTCCAGCTGTAAACCACTCTGTATTCCAGAGGTAAACCACTTGACCATTGCTCTCTGTGTCTGTAAAAACTGAAGTTTCACTCACTTCATCAGAACATTTTAATGCTCAGTAACCCCTGAAAATTTCCCTGCAGGGCTTCTTGCCACAGCACAGGACTTGCCATCTTGTTTGCAGTTTGTTTGAATGTTAAATCCGTGTTTCCTCCAACAGGTTTTGAGGTTTTTTAGCATCTAATCCGCAAAATACGCACAACCTCACNTAAATACCCCAAACTGAGGGGCTGGAGTTCTAAAATACCCCAAACTGAGGGGCTGGAGTTGTAAATACCCAAAACTGAGGGGCTGGAGCTCTAAAATACCCCAAACTGAGGGGCTGGAGTTCTAAAATAACCAAACTGAGGGGCTGGAGCTCTAAAATACCCCAAACTGAGGGGCTGGAGTTGTAAATACCCAAAATTGAGGGTCTGGAGCTTTAAAATACGCCAAACTGAGGGGCTGGAGCTCTAAAATACCCAAAACTGAGGGGCTGGAGTTGTAAAATACCCCAAACTGAGGGGCTGGAGCTCTAAAATACCCCAAACTGAGGGGCTGGAGCAATAAATACCCCAAACTGAGGGGTTTGAGCTCTAAAATACCCCAAACTGAGGGGCTGGAGTTGTAAATACCCTAAACTGAGGGGCTGGAGCTCTAAAATACCCAAAAATGAGGGGCTGGAGCTTTAAAATACCCAAACTGAGGGGCTGGAGCTCTAAATACCCAAACTGAGGGGCTGGAGTTCTAAAATACCCAAACCAGGGGGCTGGAGTTCTAAAATACCCCAAACTGAGGGTTTGGAGTTGTAAATACCCCAAACTGAGGGGTTGGAGCTTTAAAATACCCCAAACTGAGGGGCTGGAGTTGTAAATACCCCAAACTGAGGGGCTGGAGCTCTAAAATACCCAAACTGAGGGGCTGGAGTTGTAAATACCCCAAACTGAGGGCCTGGAGCTTTAAATACCCCAAACTGAGGGCCTGGAGCTCTAAAATACCCCAAACTGAGGGGCTGGAGTTGTAAATACCCCAAAATGAGAGGCTGGAGTTCTAAATACCCCAAACTGAGGGGCTGGAGTTGTAAATACCCCAAACTGAGGGGCTGGAGCTGTAAATACCCCAAACTGAGGGGCTGGAGCTTTAAATACCCGAAACTGAGGGGCTGGAGCTTTAAAATACCCCAAACTTAGGGGCTGGAGCTCCAAATACCCCAAACTGAGGGGCTGGAGCTCTAAAATACCCCAAACTGAGGGGGCTGGAGCTTTAAATGCCCCAAACTGAGGGGCTGGAGGTCTAAATACCCCAAACTGAGGGGCTGGAGCTCTAAAATACCCCAAACTGAGGGGCTGGACCTTTAAATACCCCAAACTGAGGGGCTGGAGCAATAAATACCCCAAACTGAGGGGCTGGAGCTCTAAAATACCCCAAACTGAGGGGCTGGAGTTGTAAAT